TACTTAATCCATGATTGTATTTCATCCGTAAAATCATATATATATATATATATTTGGTGATAATTTCTTGGAGGATTTAATCATATCAGACGAACATATTTATATTTTTGAATAATATAGATTTATTTATTAATACATATTTAAAAACCAAAATTAGAAAAAATAATAGGTGCATCAATACGATAATTTCCTCGATGTTCTTTAATATTAAGATTACAAAACCGAAACCCAAAAACAATTACTATATTTATAATACGACAATTTTATTCTAAATAATTCATCGGCCACAAAAAAGATATATCTCACCATTTCATATATATATATATTTCATCAGATATCCCATTACATTTTTTCCATTATCATAAATATCAAACATTATTTTATATTTTCTATCATTAATTCAACATTATCAATAATTTCATCTTTTCACGTAAATCGCGAATCTTAGCTCTCGCATATCGAATCTCAAATCTCGTCTCTTCAATTCCGAATTTCGTACTACGAACCTCGGATTGAGAAACATCTCGGATTTCATTTTATAAATCTCGAACCTCGCATATCTCAAAATATGCAAAAATTAAATCATATTATTGTCGAAATTTTAATCCAAACATCAAAGATATTGAGGCCATATAACCTATTTCACAACCGTTCTTATCAATATTTAACAAACAAAAATCCAATCGTTCCGTCCCTATCCTCATATCGACCAACCCCAATTAAATCTTTTTCTTATATCAAACAATTCAATCCAAATTAATATATAACATTACCATATTCCCAATTAATATATAAATAATATTAGAATCTATCCTAAAATAAAACATATAATAAATATATATTAATATCAACCAAATTCAAAATTACATAATTATACATTTTAAAATAACAAAGAAATAACAAATATATATAATTCCAACATATAATATTTTTTAGAATTAGTTCCATTAACAATATGGAAACAATAATATGTTTTTCCATTTAATCGAATTTGTACAGATATATTGAATATTGTAATTTTTATTGTTTTAATAGATAATTCAATAATAATATATTTATTTCGCAATATATATATATATAGAATATTCATTCATTCAGCTGCCAGCGGACGAGTCAGGTCCGCCCGTGTTGGGCCGCACGAACCAGGCGTGGATCCTTCGTGAGGATCAATAGCCCATCTGGATGCAAAATATCACGCGAGGTGTTCCGAAATGAAGGCACCTAGTGGAGCAGTCCTAGGCTGCGGGAGGGGTCTACGGTATTCGGTTCGAATCTCTTGCATTGGAGCCAACCAAAGCAGGTAGATATTCTGGTAGAAAGGCGAGTCTCGAACCAATCTGGTCGGGATTCGCTTGTCGTCATACAGAAGGCCCGCCCCTGAGTTGAACAGAATGGCCTGGTAGTGGCCATCTACAGGAGTGCGACCAATGGAAAGGATTTCGGCAACATTTTGCAACTCAATCCAAGACACAGAGCAATGATTGCATCCATCAAAAATAGGCATCTGTATGCTGTTCCATTCCCAAGTGACAGCCTGGCGATGTCTATGCTGCAATCGTGGATGTCGTTCCAACTGCAAGCATACCCAGGAGCTGGCGGTTCGAAGGCCGTTCAAAAATGGTGCTTATCGATGCCACTGCCGGATGGCCTGTTGCAAGGTCGTGCTGACCTCAGGTAAGTCTCGGAAAACGATTGGGGATATGAGGGATCCATTGTCTTCGGTGGTGGAGATCAAACGTGAATCCCATGCATATAAAATCAAAATTCCTCCAGGCATCAGCTTCTTTTCAAACATCTGAGCTCTCATCCAGCAGGCGAACTCTCGTGCATCATGTTACGCAATGGAATCATGGGAGGTGAACCAAATTTCAAGCAATCTACCTAAAAACGAACCATGGCATGGAATATAAGCCTCCCCCGCATGTGGGATACATGCTCAAAAATCGGCTGCATCCATCATCCCAAGTGTCTAGCTCAAGCGAGGTCATCAAAAGAATTGTCCATAGCTAGGCAGTCAAAACAATGCTCATGGGAGATTGCTATTGTCAGCGGTGACCTCTGCAAAATCGTCTGCCTCATCCACAAAAAAGATAAATTGAGTAATGCCGTTACCGGTCAACTTAAGAAGGAACGTATACAATTCCTAAAATTCTAGTCCTCGAAGATTCAAATCCAGGCGCCAAGAGATGGCTATTGCAGCGTCCTGTGGCAAATTGTCTTGGCTAAGGGAACGTAATGCAACGAATTTCAACACCAAACCAAAATGTTCAACGTCAATAACGGCTTTTAATTCGGCTGCAAAGCTTTGGCCTCTAAATTCCAGGAAAAAAATTGCCATTTAAGGTCTTCCGTCAAAATGCCCTTTGCGAGACCAATGCATCGTTTTTTTCTCGATATTCAATTTACTAGCTCGGTTAATCAGCTCGGAAAAGACGACTTAGAACATAAACCAGCGAAATAAGATCATAATTTATCCATTTTAATGTTGGGCGTTCCACAACATTCCCTACTCGAATAAATATAACATCAATAACCCTCTACCGCATTAAATAAACATCATCAAGCTTCAATCCAATGCAATATAGAAAATACATTTATATCAATAAATAAAAACACAATATATATAAATTAGCCCAACTAAAAACCCCAATAACAAAATATAAACCGAGACAAAAAAGAAAATCTAGAAGCAAATATTGTTTTCAATATATCGATCATCTCTTCCTTAGACGTTATCATCACAAAACCGGCACACCAACAAAATAACCAGGGCACCATCAAAACATAACCGAGACACCGTCACAACATAATTGGGACACCATCATAACATAACCAAGATCCCATCACAAAGTGACCGGGACACCAACATAATATAACGGGCAAACCATCACAACATAATCGGGACACTATCATAAAATAACTAAGGCACCATCAAAACATGACCGAGATACCGTCGCAACATAATTGGGACACAATCACAACATGACCGGGACACCATCACAAGATGACCAAGACACCATCACAACATGACCGGGACACCGTCACAACACGACCGGGACACCATCAAAACAGGACCGGGACACCGTCACAACAGGACCGGGACACCATCACATGACCGGGACACCATCAAAACATGACCGGGACACCATCACAACATGACCGGGACACCATCAAAACATGACCGGGACACCATCAAAACACGATCGGGACACCATCACAACATGACCGGGACACAATCAAAACATGATCGGGACACCATCACAACATGACCCCACACCATCACATGATCGGGACACCAGCATAACATAACGGGGACACCATTACAACACGACCGGGACACCGTCACAACACGACCGGGACACCATCAAAACATGACCGGGACACCATCACATGACCGGCACACCATCAAAACATGACCGGGACACCATCACAACATGACCGGGACACCGTCACAACACGACCGG